TTTCTCTGTCCGGGGTCTTACTCATAAAGTTAGGGACTAGTTTGTGTTTATTTTTCTTTTCTTTTGGGTCATGTTGTAAACTGCTACACAACTCCGCTCTATGTTTAATGCAGTTTTGGGGTCCTTTGGGACCCTTTTCTCCTTTACTAAAAAAATGTGGAGCTCCTATTGTACGCCTTGTTCCACTGTTTTCCCTGATACCCACATTGTTTCAACACAGGCCGGCCCAATAAGCTTTGCTAATGTTTTATATTTAATAGACTAAAAAACAAAAGAAATTTATTAAAAATAAAAACCATGGAAACAGTGTCCATATATATCAGTAAAAAAATAATCACATGTTTTAAAATGGTCAATAATAAATAAATGTTCACATGCTTTAAAAGTATTTATTTTTGAAGAAAATGCTCGGGTAATCGGGGAAAAGTTCATGTGTTATAAAATAATTTTTACAAAATATTTACGTATACAGAAAACCAGGGGAAAAGACAGGAATCAAAGAAACAGAAAATGAAAAAGGTAAACGAAAATAAAAGGAAAAATAAAAGGGGCTCAGAACCAGAATGGGCCGCTCAATGCGATAACATTTGGGCTTCAAATAATCCTACTAGGCCCAGGTGATAATATCTGCGCCGTGGCCCCTTCTCTAGCCCTGGAAGGCCCGGCAAACCAGAGATCCAGCAGGCCAGCACGGCATCCACCACCCACCCAAAACCGCGAGCATCTCTCCGGTGCCGACGCTTACCGCGGCTTGGCGAGTTCGATTGGGTAGGCGGAAGCTAGGGTTTAGTCGGCGGAGCGGCAGCGGCAGCGGTAGGCGGAGGCGATGGCGTCGGCCGACGAGGAGATCGCGGTGAAGGAGCCGCTGGATCTGATTAGGCTCAGCCTCGACGAGCGCATCTACGTCAAGCTCCGGTCCGACCGCGAGCTCCGCGGCAAGCTCCATGTAAGCGCTCGGGATCCCCTTTCGATCTTTTTGCTGTGGTCTGTACGCTGTCCGTGGTTGGATGTATGCCGAACGAATTCCTGGTTAACATTGGCCTGCGACGATTTGGTATGCCCGGTGAGATGAGAGGAGCTTTTAGGCCCCCAATTTAGTCAGATTATTTTTGTTGGTTAGGTCGTATCCCACCTTTTCCACTTAAATGTGCTCGCTGTGCTTCGTCCCGAAGCGACCAGGGTTATATGTGTTCATGTTCAATGCGGTCTAGGAGGTTAATGTGTTCATGTGCAATAATAGAAAAATGCCTTTCGATTCGACAAAGATAAGGAAGCATCTCAATAACATTAAACTTTGATGCTATCTAACATTGGTAGTATGGGATGAATTTCTGGTGTATCTGCTTACAACTATGACCTGGGAACGTGATATGTTCTTTAATTTACTAGTTTATATGGAGAACATTACCAATAAACTTCAATATTATGATGCGCCTTTTCATGCTGTCCATGCTGTAGTGACTTGTTTTCAGTCTGCACTACAATTATTATAACGTTTGTATCCACATTCTAATCATGGGACTTGTGGAGGTCCATATTATTGATAAACCACAATGGCATGATGTGCTGCAATGGCTTGTTTTTAGCCTGCACTGCAATTACACACAGTCTGCTCATGTGGATTGCGGAGGTCCATATATATCATAACATGTTAATCATGCTGGGATGGTTGTCGCTGAGGCCTGAGATGTTTTCCTTGTACACAGGCATATGATCAGCATTTAAACATGATCCTTGGAGATGTTGAGGAGATTGTAACAACTGTTGAGATCGACGATGAAACATATGAAGAAATTGTGCGAGTAAGTTGTTTGACCTTATGCTCTCAATGTCGATGTATACTCGTAAACCAACATTTTCGGAGGTATGCTGTGATTGTTTCCAACACAGTTTACCATTGATGAAACATGTTAATTGCTGCATTCTAATGAAAAACTTGAGTATTATCTTGTTCAATATGTGTGTGTTTTGGGAATGTATGGAGTCCCTTGGGCAGTGAGGGGATGACTACCTAACACACGCTAAAACATCGTTTCACCCATTTTTCTCATGGATTGTCAGTATGTCATGTATTTCTGGCATTCTTATCCATTTGATCATCATAAGAGGAGTTTGTAAACTGTTGCTTTTTAATAAAAAGTTGAGGCAGGGGGGAAACCCTTTGAGGGGGGAAACCCTTTGATTAAAAAAAATCATCATAAGAGGATAGACCTATTTGAATCATTTCTTATTGTGGGAGCTTTATGATTCTGATCTAGTGTGATGTTACTTTCAACATTTGGTTCTGCAAGAACATAATGACTTGTTTCTGGAGAAATCTAATTCTACAAGAAAAGCTTATCTTCGAAATGCATCATGACGATGTTGATATACTAACCCTTTTAAACATTGAACCTTTTGCAGACAACCAGGCGTACCATCCCCTTCCTTTTTGTCCGAGGCGATGGTGTCATATTGGTCTCTCCGCCTCTGCGAACGGCGTGAACCATGAAGTTGGAAGGGGATCCTGCTGATGGTAGACTATGAGTAGCGCGCGTTTGGTCAGCAGATGGCATTGGTCTGTCTGTCATCTGCTGCAGTATCACTGTTGGACTGTAGGGTTTTAGCCTGAGATGATACAATTTGTGTAACAACTCCCTTGTGTTTGGAGTCATCTACTGAGGTGCCAGTTTCTTCTATGTCATGTCAGACTAATATTGTTTTTGATTAATATGTGGTCTCGCGCAATTATGTTCTGCTCCGAATCCTATCCCCAACAAGCGTGTATGCGTAACATTATTATCGGAAGAAAATAGACTTGGTGCAGAGGTTTGTAACATTATTATCGGAAGAAAATAGATTTGGTGCAGAGGTTTGTAAAATCTTCTCCACTGCGCCAAGCACGGTGTTGCCTGAATGCTTTTTTGAGTTGGTGAAGCCTTTTTTTTTGAACTGGGCATTACCCCTTTCCATTAGTGCGACATAACGGAAATACATCAAATGTCCAGAGAAAGGGCATGAAAGGGGAAAGCGCCATCAAAGATAACTCACTATGGGGCAAAAACCCGACAACACCATTACATCACATTATCAGCCAAAAACCAACAAACAGTATAGTATTAAGAGCCAAGGACAAAAGGCCTAGGCACAAAACCCACACACAACCAGCAAAGCGGCATCCCTTCCTGCATAGTAGCAGACTTCACTCCTTGGATTGATCTTCAGTAAGCCCCATCCTCCTAGTGCGCTGCGGCACAGATCTGCATCAGTCTTGAGGCATTGCTCTTCAGCATGTTCGCTCCAGTCCCCAGGTCCTCCGCATCTTTTTTCTATTTCATCAGCCCTGCCCAGTAACAAAGAAAAGCACAAGTAGAGAAAGTGCATTCAAATGGGTTTATGAGAGGAATAAACTCAAAAGTAGCTCTGTTGCGACACGTCCAAATCGCCTAGCATATGGCAGCAATGCCCACTGTATAGAACACTTCCCCTTCTAGGAAGAAAGAATAACACCACAAATATGTTTGCCACAGGCTGTTTGGGCATAGATCAGTCCCAAACATACAAGCCACCGCTCTCCAAGTTACCCTGGCCACTGGGCAGGTAAAAAAGAGATGTTGTGATGTTTCTTTTGCAGCACAAAAGGAGCATTTAGGGTCTTTTTTCCACCCCTTGTGCTTCATCACATCTCTGGTTAAGATTGCATTTTGCGACAATTGTCACATAAAAATTTGGATCTTCAGAGGTATACTCGCTTTCCAAATCCAGTTATAGTCACAACCCGAAAAATGTCTCTCCAGAATAGTATAAACCGATCGAGTAGTGAAGTAGGTTTTAGAACCCAACCCCCATTTGATTTTGTTACCTTCACTAGAAGCGCAAGATTTACTAACTGCATCCACCATCTGATGCCACTGCTCCCCCATTTCATGATTTAGTCTTCCTCGGAAGAACGACAGGGGATCAGCCGCTAAGCAAGAGTTGACAGTACAGTCAGGATAAATTGCATATAGAGAACAATCTGGGGAATTGTTCACGAAATGGCAATTGATCCCCAACAGGATCCATCCAAAGCCTAGCAATATTGCCAGAATGGATCACCACACGCCTACCTGCCATATAAAGATCTTTCACTTTCATTATCGCCTTCCGGCATGGGGAGTCACTGATTTTCCCTTTAACCGAGGCAATAGTATCTCTACGAAGATATCTAGCCTTAATAATATCCTGCCATAAACCACTTTTGGTCTCCAGTTTCCATCACCATTTGGTGAGCAAACTCAAGTTCTGTTTATGCAAGTCTTTAACTCCCAACCCCCCTTTGTTTTTAGATCGACATATCATGGTCCATTTGACCAAATAGTACTTTTTCTGTTTTTAGTGACTTGCCAAAAAAATCTCCTTCTGTGTTTATCCAGTCTCGCAATCGTGGTCTTTGAAAGCAAAAACATGGACATGTAGTAAAAAGCAATGCTTGAGATATTAGCACTGAGCAGGGTTAGTCTACCTCCAGAGGAAGCATTGCTCCCTAAACCGGACTCACATCCGCCCGCTGCACACGGACTTCAAGAAATATATGGTGATAATGTGAGGTGGGCCATGCTGGAGTCCGGACCGCTTCCGGAGCCCGCTCTCACCGCCCTGGCCCCTCAAGACGCCAGCTGCCCGCCGCATGCATGCATAACAAGTAGTACTCCTTATGTGGAGGAGAGAGAGATATTGACAAAGTCAAGGAGTGGGCTCTGCAAGAGCCCATCTGTACACGTGCTCCTAGGTATAAAAAAATAATTCTAAAAAAGGCATAAAAAACAATTGTGTCTTAAAAGAAAGATCGTCCCCTCCAACACACAAAATTTCACTTTTCTGAAAGTTGATTTTCAATCCTGACATTAGCTCAAACATATAGAGCAGTATTTTCATATTTAGGGTTTTCTCAGGGTCATGCTCGATGCAAATCACCGTATCATCAACATATTGTAATATGGCCACGCCATTTTCCACTAATTCAGGGGCTAGCCCAGTAATCAGTCCATGTTTCTGTGCTTGACGCACCATTTTGGACAAACATTCAGCTGCGATGTTAAATAGGAACGGAGAAATAGAATCCCCTTGTCATATATAGGAAAGAAAACCCACCAAATATTCGATTCCCGGCCCGCTACGACTTGAGGAAGAACATCGTGACGGGCAAATTCGTGACTCCGAGACCACAGCATCCGAAATATTCTCCTGGGCAAGTGGGATAAGTTGATAAGAGGAAGACACGGGCAATCGGGAAGTCTTCCTTGTTTGCCTTGGCTCCGCCGGAACAGAGAGACCGAGAAGAGAGGGCGAAGAGGAGGCAATCGCGAACAGAGCAGCCATGGGCGTGACCAAGGAGGACGTGGAGGCCGCCGTCGCCGCCGCGCTCAGCCCCACCCACCTCGTAAGCCTCCCTCCCCTCTCTCTCCAAACCCCTCCCGCCAGCCCGCCCATGGCCCGTCTCCGCCTTAAACCCTAACCTAACCCGTGTGTTTTTCCTCCGATTTCAGGTGGTCGCCGATACATCCGGCGGGTAAGCAGCCCAAGCGATCTCCCGAAACTTCTACTGCTCTTTTCCTCCCCTGTAAGCTTGTTCGTTCGATTGGTGGTCTTGATTGATTGATGGGATTGTGATTGGTGCGAAGGTGCGGCGCGAGCTACGAGATCGAGGTGGTGTCGGGCAAGTTCGAGGGGAAGCGGCTGCTGGACTGCCACCGGATGGTCAACACCGCGCTGGCGCCGCTCATGGCCGAGATCCACGCCGTCTCCATCAAGGCGCTCACCCCCGCGCAGGCCCAGCCCAAGCCCCAGCCGGAGCCGGCCGCCGCCGCCGACAAGTCGCAGCAGGCCTGATTCGTCGCTGAATGAAGCACTAGTACTGAAACCACAACACATGCGCTGTTGGATGTTGGGAACTCGCATCATACACTACTCTGCTTGAATGAATAATGTAGCAAGATGCGTCTGCGGAATCGAGACTTTGCAGTGGCGCCATGCCTGGCTGATTAAGATTTTGCTTCGTTTTGTCTATGTGATTGTGATGATTTATAGTGCTTCTGCTCTAACCGTGTTGGCCTGACATTGTGTGGCGACATGTTCCTGAGTTTCTGTGGTATGCGCGGTTTGCAGTTCAGGGCTCCTTTGATTCAAGGGAATTCTATAGGATTTTTGGAGGATTGACATCCTTGAAAAAATTTCCTATGTTTGTCCTATAATTCATAGGATTGAACCCATAGGAATTTTTCCAATGGAATTTTTTGTACTACATTTCATAGGAAATCTAACATCCACTTTAACTTCTTTTTACAATTCCTTTGCTTTTCCCGTGAAGTCAAACAAAAGTCAAACACTCCTTGCTAATCCTATAGGATTCAAGTGGGCATGACACTCCAATCTTATACTTTTCCTATTCTCGCGTTTTCAAAATCCTACAAATCAAAGAGATCCTCAGTTTCTTCTTTGGTCGATTTGCTTCTGTTGAATGTGATGGCTTTCTTTTTATTGCTGCAAATTGGTTTGTTTCCCTTTGTTGTCTTGCATACTAGCTGTTATTCAGGGATTCCGATGACAGTTGATCCAGACTGTTTTGTCAGCCTATAAGTGTCTGAGGTTCGTGCTGTCAGTTTGAGGCCTCCTTTGATTTGTAGGAATGTCATAGGATTTTTATAGGATAGGATTTGCATAGAAAATTTTTCTTTGAGTCTCTTTGGTTTGTAGGAATGGATTCCTATTCCTATATAGGATAGGAATCAATCCTTCACATTTTGGAGGAAAAAAAACATTAGCTAAGGCCTTCTTTGGTTCATAGGATAGGAATTTTATAGGAATAGAAAAATCATAGGAAGTGAAATGACATGCATGTCAATTCCTATAAAGAATGAGATGTCATTTGGTGCATAGGATATGATTTTTTTCATTGAGTCCAGGCTAATGTTTTTTTTCCTGCAAAACGTGAAGGATTGATTCCTATCCTACATAGGAATAGGAATCCATTCCTACAAACCAAAGGGCTTCAAAGGAACCAAAGGAGGCCTAAGACTCGATGGGAAAATTCCTATCCTATGCATCAAATGACATCTCTTTCTCTATAGGAATTGAGATGCATGTCATCTCACTTCCTATGATTTTCCTATTCCTACAACATTTCTATCCTATGAACCAAAGGAGGCTATGAACCAAAGGAGGCCTGAACTTTGAATAAAGTACGTACTCTGTTTTAGCCATTGAACTTTGAATAGCACGACATGCCTATACTGGTGGTATATAGGAATTGTCTATCCAAAAACATAGGAATTGCCCTCAAATCCCTACTTACACGAAGGAATTGTCTACAAAAAACAAGCCATTACAGGACTTTTGATTGGTTCTTGTCAAATAAGCTAATGACACAATTTAACTGGTACATAAAACACCACCAGCCCCTTTGCACAACTCGCATTCATGGTGGTAGAAGCCCAGGGCCTCAGCTGATTGCTGCCATGGCTCACCGCCATGCTGCAGAGGGCGCATATGGCCAGACCAAACGAGCGTCTGGTGTTCAGCAAAGGGCATATCGTCAGCTATGCCCACGGCAGCAGCCAGATGCAACAATACAAAATTTTCTTGCTCTATGCCACCGCGAGAGGACATTTCAACATGAATATGGCTCAAACCGAAATTTGGCATCAAACTGGAAGGGGTTCCAACCGATTGAAAACAGAAAAATCATCACTCAATACTGCTGAATGGATCCAGGTATTTCAGAGTGCAGTTGACATATTACATATAGGATTGCTGAAAATGGTACCAGAGCATTAGATAGTTTCTACAAGTCAAGCAAGTTGACAACTATGATCGACGGTCATAGTCACTCCTGCAAGAGTCAGCATTCCATGTTGCAGTATACCAGTAAGCTACTTCTCCTTCAAACTACTGATACCTGTGCACAAAGCACGAAGCAGCTCACTCGTTAAATCAACAATATTAACTTCAGATTTATGAAACTTGTAAATTTTTAAAACAGACCATTTCAGCATCACTAGGAAAACTGTAATTAGAAAATGTGAAATGAGCATGAAAGAGGAAGGTAAATATTAACATATTTTTTATCCAACATCCCCACTAAAGGAAAAATAGTCTGCAGGTAAATATTAACACATGATCTACCTGAAATACAAAACAATAATTTTAAGCTTGTCAAATTATAAATGGACATGCTTCAGCCTAAGTTTTCAGTGTATCTGTTGTCTGTTTCAAACTTGGCCCATGCTATAAGATCAGTAACGTGGCAATATACACATTGACACTACCAATCTACCGTCTAATAATTTACGGGGAGGACAAAAGTAAACTTTTCTTGTATTATTGCTGATTGAAACTCCCCAGTACCCATCACCATTTTATATCTAGTATGCACTAATTAGTTTACTAAATCTGGCGGCAACCATGAAATTAAAGGCCACACAAAAAATAACATTGATAGTGTCAAAGTGTATCGATCTGTCAAACAAGGAATTATACAGTTTAAATATAAATACTATTTTAGCAAGTAAGAAAGCCCTCAAGCTGGTGCAGAAATCACTTGATCTATATTATCTTACTAGTTTCTCCCTTAAAAGTCCGATATGACCTGACAGTATTGTACTACACAAGTACATGAAAAGAAAAGCAGAACATCAAAGAAAATCGAGCATATGAAATTGCAGCGTCCAGCTAACAACAAAAATACTATTCCATCTCCTATAAGATGTCTTGTTTCCTGACTCAGCAATTCACATGTAGCAGTATAAAAGAACAATAGCACACTACCATGGTAGTTTCGAAGAGAGCTAATGCTCAAATCGCTAACACAGAAAAGAACATGGCTATAAGTTAATTGGGAGATTTTGAACACTTCAGAACTACAGTATATTCCATCAACCATATATTGAAAATAAATTGAATTCCAACAGTTACCTTCATCATAGAAACCTGTGAAAGGATAATAGGTGTGAATATTATCGCTTTTAAAAAGCTCCTTGGGCTGCATTGACTCAAGCTGAACCATGAAGAGAGATGAGTGCACCCATAAAAATAATGCATGAACATCCTCAGCATAATGCACTATCCGTGCCCTCTCCTTGTCAATCTTAAACCCCAACCCAAGTAGCTTCTGCAGTTCAATGCATTTCCTCAACACCCAAACAGCAACACCATTGCAATTGACCTTCCTATCCCACATTTGGAAACAGGGTTGGTGGTAGCAGGGGAACGGGCAGCGGGTGCACGACAAAGCAGAGAAGCCAACACTGCTATCATCTACCTGGATGATCCGAACACTGTCACCGTAATAAGCACCAGGTAGCCTATGGATCACAGCTAGCGTCTGTCTATCCAAATCAAACTCAAGTATGCCGCTATACCTCTTAAGCAACCAATGAAGGGTGTTACCAACAAGTGTGCCGGCATTAACAACAGTAACACCCCTATATGGAAGCGGTGTTGAGAGGAGATCACTCCATACGCCAGTCTCTGAGCAGTAAACACTTGTGAAGGCGACGGCTTCATTATCGTGCTCATAGCTGTCCACCACGACCACTTTAAAAGGGCTCGAGTGGCAGGCACCATGCGCGTGGCCCTGCTCGCCGGCAGCGCAGAGCACCGCCGCGGTATGCATGTCTTCAAACTCCGGCGGAACCGACAAGAGGGAGCGGTCGCCAGTCACGGGGTCCCACACAATGACCTGACGCCTCTCCCTGTTGAGAAGGAGCACGCGTCCGTGGCGGCAGTCGACCAACCTCCATGGATCGCGGCCGTGGACTTGTAGTTGTAGGGAGAAGTGGCCGGGAGGGATGCGGTAGGGCAGGTCCAGGGTGGATCTGGACGAGAGTCTCCCGTACTCATACGAGAAGTCCCCGAGGAGGGGAGGCTTCCGGTGGTGGACGCGGAAGCGGCGGAGGAACTTGGGGTCGATGGCGATGTGTCGCCAGCGCTTGGCGACGAGGGAGGCGCGCAGGAGGTAGGGCGGCTGCGAGGGTAGGCGGAGCAGGATCTCCCGCAGTAGGTCGTCGTCTTCCAGCGGATGCTCCGCCGCCGGCGATGGCGAGGAGGGTCGGCGGCGGCGGCGATCCATGTTCGCCGTCTACGGATTGGGGTGGGGTTTCGGAGAGTGGAGACGGGCTGTGGGGGGAGTGTGAAATGTGTGGTTTAGAAAAAACATTGGTCGCCTCAAACATTGGTCACACCCTAGCGGAATTCTGAGATGGGAATCCAACTAATTTCAGTGGATCTTGCGGAGAAGCAAAGGGGAAAGTAGCCCCACTAGGGTTTGTATTACTATGGGAGGTAAGATTGTATTATAGTGATAGTTCACAGAATAATCGCATGACCATTACAGATGGGGCCGCATAGCTTTATAGCCAGCCAGCAACGGGTGACAGCTATAGAAACGGAAAAAGGAAATGCTACAGTTACAGTGGTAACGGTACAGTGAATCGGCGAGCCTTGCGAGCCGTTAGATAGATCGATCGTGGCCGTCCGTTAACTGAATGCTGGACACTTGTAACTGAATATGCTGGCCTGACAATGCCTCCCACCAAAAACGAACTTGTCCTCTAGGAGATGAGCGATTGAACCAACGGTCGATGGTCGCCTTGAAGAATGCAGTAAATGTTTTCTTCATGAATGCCGCGTCTTCCCAAGAAGCTTCGTCAGGTAGCAAGTTTTCCCATTGAACTAGCCATTGAACCACCGGCAAATTGTTGCGTGGAACCTGACGTGTTTCCAAGACCCACACTGGCTCGGTCTGAATCATACCATCTTCTCGTACCAGCGGCAAATCAGAACAGGGTACTGCCTTCGGTCCGACATGCTTTTTGAGCTGGCTAACATGGAAG